CTCATGCTCAAGAGCCAAGGAGCCTAGGTGGAGAGGACAGCAAGGCCAGCTGGCTCTTTCTCCCTCCCTTTCCTCCTTCCCTCCTCGACCTCTTCCCTTCCTTCCTTCTCCCATCCACCCTCCTTTCTCTTTTCCTCAATGTCTACAGTAGAGTTCTCTAGTTTGAATTTTCGCACTTTCTTTAGACTTAGACTTTGTGTTGCATCAGCAAAGAATATGCAGGTGGCTGAGGGGTCATCAGCTCCTGCCTTAGAGCACTTCCCTTTCTATGAACTTGGCCTTCTCATCCTCCCTGATCACTGGGGGGTGAGGGAGGAGGAGGCAGCACCCAGCATGTGACATAGGCTCCGTATTCTGCACTCGTCTTTCAGAGCTTTTTCCCATCCACTTCTTCCTCCCTTTTCTCCTCACTTCCCTGTCTATTTGTGAGAACATCTGGTTCAGGCATGTTGTCCACGTACAGTTCTGATGCTACAGCTCTTCAGGTCTTGATGCCTGCTGTAGACAGGAGTTATTCTGAAGGAAAAGCCACTTCGTGTAATAAGCAAGTTGTATGAGTTGATTTCTAGTACTTGGAATTCTTTACTGTGTGTGCCTGACATGGCCATTCATAGGTTTACCAAGGAAATCAACAGGTTCATCCCATGTTGATGTGAAAGGTACACGTACGTGACAAAGGTATGTGTGTGAGAGAGAGGGCTGGGGGTGGGGTGGGGGGACAGAGACACAGAGAGAAAAAGACCAATTCTGAGCAGTCGCATGCTTTGCCCCAGGGTGGGAAGGGTTCCAGGTCCCCTTTTCGATCTGTTTGTGCTAGCTCCGCTGTGTTTAGTGGTGGTGGCAGACAGGACAGGAGGCACCCTGGTCTCTCACATCCTTTTCTGCCATTGCTCTTTGAACCCAGGAGTTTGCCCCTTCCTTGGGAAGGTGGAAATGCTTCCTTCCTTTTGCTCATTCTGGGGATTGAGAGAATTGGACGGACATGGTAACCCTACCTCTGAGAACATCACAGACAGTAGCAGAATATAATGTTTCCAAAGGGATTTCGAAGGAGCCTAACCAGCAAGACAATCCATTCAAAAACGGGAAATCTGGGGGCAATGTGGGAGCATATGGCCTTCCTTGGCCACGTGGAACTTCCAAACCAGGGCATCTCATCCACTCTCCTTTAGGCTGGTTAGATGGTACTTGGGAAGAAAGCCTTAGTCGTAAATGGCCACACAAGACAGACTCATACACACAGGAGGCAGTTACCCCAAGAAAGCATAGAGTGGCTGGAAGTTCTCTTACCCCACCATCCCCTGCCCACACATTCCCCTTTAGGGGATGCTCAGAATTTCAGTATTCTAATTGGCTGTCTTTTCTCCCCATCTTTAAAGATAAAGTACCCTCAAAAGATGAGTTAGTGAGGTACCCAACACAGAGCCTGATGTTATTATCAATATCAGCACCAGCATCAACTTCTAATTTCAATGGAACACATCCAATCCAGGTCTTCTACGTGAGCGGCTAGTCCAACACCTCTCAATGCCTGTCAGTCCTGAGCCAGGGGCACAGTTCATCCTTCCACATCACCTTACTCCACACAATCTTACTGCATGTGCCTTCAGAAAAGCCTGGATCTCAGTTCAAGTTCATCACTTACAACGCCGGAAGTGGTGGGAAACGTTTAACCTCTGAGCTGAGAGTTCTGTGGTTCTGTCCATAAACCACACCACAGGTTTGCAGAGAGAAAAGAACAGTGTAGATGGGGACGTCTGAGCTATGCCCAGATACTTCACCGTGAATCCCTGCCTTATAGCAAGAGGCTGAGCATGCTGGGCTGCTAACTATCTGGTTTGCAGGGTTTCTGCATGGGTGTCTTTCCACCCCATCCTCATCCCCAGAAAGGCGGAAGCCATGCCACCTTCATGATGGCTCGTTGGTAAACCAGAATCCAAGACTTAAAATGGCTCACTTGGGTTGCCCAGAGCCATCCCTGAGTGGGAGGTATGAGGGAGCAGTCACCATGACCCCAGAACTCTGTGATCTGTCCCATCCCCTGCTGTAAAAGGAACACAGAGAAGGCCTGGAACCTGGCAGGAGGTTAACAATGGTGTCCTGACTTGCGTAAACACGCAGCCATGACAAAATGGCTTTCTGTTCCACTTTTAGACCTGCTCAAATAGGAAGTTGAAATTAACCTCAGCTCTTTCAAAGTTAAAACCACAACAAATAAACAGTGGTTTGGTGGCATGGCAACCTGCCCCCCTCTCCATCTGAATCCCATTGCAGATCACTGGAGATGTCTATTTGGTAGGATAAGGAAAGGTGATATTCCATACCCATGATCCTCTGCTGGCAGAGCCGAGGCTGGGGTGGCTCTGGCCTGACAATCCCCTGCCTCTCCATAGACCCCTGGCAGTCAATGGCATCTCTGTAAAGCTGGAAATCATTCCCATGTCTGTGCAGTGCTGAGGAAACACAGCCCTGACTACTTCTGGGATCACTTTCTTAAAACTGTGATTGCCATTTAAGAGAGCCGTGAACCTATGCTGCATTGCTTAAATAGACATGGGTACTCTGGGCTAAGCCCAGGCATTAACTGTCTGTAATGCCAGGACCGAAGTGAAGAACTTGGCTGTTACATTATCTCTGTTAATGTTTGAATTTCAAGGGGGGGAAACATTCAAGCATCTACTCAAAAACTAGACTCATAAAAAATAGCATTTTCTTATAGGGAAAGAGAGAGAGGAGAGGAAGGGGGAGAAGGAAGGAGAGGGGAGAGAAACAGGTTGGGAATGGAGAGAACACAACACAATGAAACAGTTTTACATGCTATATCTTGAACACAGTTCTGAAACTGTGTGTCTGCCATGGGCCAAGTAAATCCTTGCATATCAAATTCATATACTGGAGGGGAAGAAAACATCCACAATACAGTCCACACATCTTTTGTGAGGAGCAATCAGGCCCCTAGGACACTCTAAGATCAAGTTATGACGCAGAGAGCCACAGACACCCACACCTGTCCATGGTGATGCCTCCCGCGCTCCAGTGGGCGGCTCCAAAGGCTCAGGATGCCCTGAGCACTGAGCACCACACTGCCACCCTCTACTTTCCTAGGGAACGGGGCACAGAAGAGGGTAAGTGAAAGCAGGCCAGACTTCCGAAGCAGGCAGAGGCGACAATTTGAATTTGCTCCCACATGACTGGGTTTTGCATTGGCTTTAAAAACCCTTTCGAGTTTGGGTTTGGCTTTTAGCAAGCAAAAGGCAAATCTCATCCCAGCTCACAAGTGGCGAGTGTAGCGAGGAGAGGCTAAGAGAACAGAGCTTTCTCCTTGGTTTTTACACATGGACTTCCAGAGAAGACGTGCATGAGCCTACGTGATGGTAAACACAGGACAGAAGAATATCCTCCTTATCCCCAAGACCATGCATCTCCCTAAAGTGTCATCTGCCCCAATTCACCACAGAACTGCACTGGGGGCTCTTTGGATTTGTGGGTCTTTTCCCTAAACACCTAAAACGATGGCCTAATTTTTTGTTTCCTTCTTACAAAAGAGAGGTCTACTGGGCAGTGGTGCCCACAGGGTCCCAGGTGTCCTAGGCTGGCCTCAAACTAGCTATGTAGCCAAGGCTGGCCTTGAATCTTGATCCTGCTGCCAACACCTCCCCAGTGCTGTGAGAGCCGGCCTGGACCGCCATGCCCGGGGGCGTAGGCTTTCTATTTCACACTCTGGAAAGGGTGAGCGTTTGCGAGCCCTGCATGCGCTCCTTCCCAAAGAGAGCAATTTGCTCAGAAAGCCTCTCAAGCAGATGCTGCCTGCGTGTCCCATGCAGAGCGCAGAGGAAGCGAATCTTTGCTTTCTGTGAAAGGCAGAGTCTCACTTCTGCTGCTGGCCCTCGGCCCCTTTCTCCAGACGGGCTGCATCTTTTCCTTTGAGTTGACTAAGCCCGCATCTCTGCGGAAGGGGTGTTACCGTATCATATACAGCTGTGTCCCGCCTGGCAGAGAAAACCGCCTTTCGGTTATTATAATGGTATCACTGAGCAAACAGCCTCCAACGTCAGCGGCCCTACTGCGTAAGTGCCCGGTGAGCATCATCTAACTTGGCGCCGAGGGTTTGTACAGCGATGGCCTCTTACGGGGCTGGGCAGTTAGTGTATCTGACAGCGCTTTTGCAGTTGGTGACTGCGCCCCCGCCCCCCATGGAGTGAACGGAACCCACAGTACTGACCTGAAAATACTATGCTTGATACAGCCACACACACATGCCTCCTTTTTCTTCATATTTTGAAAACAACAAATATTAGATGCAAACTCCACACATAATCTGAAGGCAACAAGAACTTGAAAACTCACCTTTACCTTTTGTTTGTGTATATGTGTGTTTATACATGCATACACACAAACATATACACAATTGTGTGTGTGGCTTCAAGACTAATGGCAGATAAGAAAACAACATACCAGAAGCTGACACTTAAAAAAATACCCTCACCTGTTTATATACAGGTGGCTCTTGGTATCTACAGGCTCTATAGCTAAAGACTGAACCAATGGTGGGTTGGCATTACAGCTTTTTTTTTTTTTAATGTACACATACTGATAATGTATTTTTGTTTTGAATCCCTAAATAATATAGTTCACTGATTGTCACTAGAGCATCTATAGTGTACTAGATGCTAGCAGGAATCAGGAATGACCTAGAGCCTCCAGGAGGATGTACACAGGCTTACGCAAGTACCCCCGACGTATTCTATCAGGGGCTCGGGCATCTGTGGATTTGGGTACCTGGAACTGATACTCCACAGGTACCAAGGGACACATGTCATACCCACTTGCGTATATGGATGGGTGGCCATAGCCAGGCCTGCCCTCCATGCTCAGCGCTCAGCAGCCGCACTTCTCAGTCTAGAGATACTCAGTAGGTGAACCGCTGGGGCGGGGTGACGCGGCTCTGTGCCTGGGACTCCAGCGAGGACAGAGGGCAGTGGGCTTCGTGGGGTACTTACCCTGCATCTGACTTTGAGGCTGAGGGTTAAAGGCAGTGGAGTGATTCAAGGAGGCCCGAGGGTTGGGCGTGGGGGCTGGGTGGTGCGGGCTGACCCTCATGGCCGTGCGCCGCAGCTGCTCCAGTTCACTGAGCCGCTCGGAAAAGGACAAGCTCCCCGGCTTGGTCTCATCTAGTTTCTGCCGATGTCCTACGATAGGGACCGGGAGGGGAAGGGAGGAGGAGGAGGAGGAGAGGGAGGGAGCAAGAGATCAGAAAACGCATTGTGGAGGGGGGCTTTTCTTATCTTTTCCCTCCCTCTCCCTTCACCTCCAAGGTGAGCTTGTTGGAAACTGCCCCTTGGGCTGGTGGCCTGGGGGAACCAGGGCCATTCTTTCCACAGCAGCTTGAGGGAGGCTCCTTCATCACCCTGGCCACTGGGCGTTCTAGGTCTGGGACTCCGGGATGCATCTGGCTGTCTGCACACACCTCAGGTGGTCAGAAAAGAGAGATGCTAGGGAGCGCAGCTGGAGAGAGTGGCCTGGGAAAGAAGCCCGTGCCTTGTTGGCTGTCGGCCACAGGCTGAGAGCTGATCCATGGCAGCCAAGAAACGTGGCCTCCCCTGGGGCCATGAGCGCCCTGACTTCTTGCAAACCTGACCAGAAGCAGGTCTGAGAGGTACCAGAGTGGGCCCTGGAACTCGGCAGCACGCCCCTTCAACAGGAAATTGGGTGCAGCTACAAACCACAGCCTAGGAGGGAGATTTCCTGTTACATGCAGGCAGGCACGGGGCAGCCCTGTCAGGCCCTACACTCTCAGGCCCCTTCCTCCTTCATACAGGCTCCTCAGAACCGTCCTTTCTTCTCTGAAGCCCACTCCCTGACATATCCCCAACAGGGAATAGGCAGAAAGATGCAGCCTATTGCTAGCAGGCCAGGCCCCTGGGAGCCCGGAGGGCTTGGCCAGCAGGTCTGCTGAGCTTCCTGGGGCTGAGGAGTCAAAGGGTGGGAAGATGCCTGTATGGGAGGTAGATGTCCCGATTACCAGGAAATAGGAAGCAGGGGCATTCACATGGACCAGTCAGGAGGCCTGGGCCTCCAGTTTTTCCTGGTCATCCCTTCCAAATTGTCATAAAACTAGAGATTGTAGTGGAGTCCAGCCCCCCACATAGGAACATAGTCACAGGGGACTTGGGAGATCCATTCCTCTTTTAAAGAGGCCAGCTCACCCTCAAGGTCTGTTTGACTGGAACCCTTAACTGAGATACAACTCTCCCATCTGTGCTCACACAGCCTCAGAATAAAACAGGAGACACCATTGGCTTCTGCCCATAGAAAACGCTGCTTCTGGTATCCCTTCCCAACCAGAAGCTAGACAGAGGACCCTGGGTACCATTCCCCCGGCACAGGGTAGGAGCAAGGCTGTGAATGGTAACCCCTCCCCACCCCCCAGTTCCCAATTGCTACAATTATAAAATTAAGTTGTAGAAGTCGTGTTATGGTTTCAAATCCCCGTGGCTTGCCGTTTCTTCCTGCTGCGGGCCCCTTGGCACCGCGGACACTGTCTCAAATTCCAGGCCAGAAAAAGGGCCTACTATATTGCAGAGATTTTTATCACTAACAAGACCTGTTTGGCTCCAAATGGAGGAAAAATGCTTAAGCATAATATTTGTGTAGTTCACACGCAATGTTCTCTCTTTCCACGTATCACCATGGCAAATCTGGACTGTCATTCAGGGCTGCAGCTCACAACACTCAAACACAAACACCCTGAGTCACGCAGGCTCGGCCAGCGCGCATGTGAGAGCCTCTCAGAGGCTGAGTATTTTAAGCTCTGTGGACAAAAGAGGCCAAGTCCCCCAGCTGCCTCCTTCGTCCTTTTACCAGCAGAAGTACAAAAACTTCTTTTTCCAGAACCTTCCACTTCAGTCAGCCGTAGTACATGCAATTGGGTGTGCAGCCTTCTTCGGCTCTTCCCTCCTCTGATGGTTGTGACCAGAGTCCCACTCCTCACCACACTGAAAAACCTCAGGCTTTCTCACGGAAAAACAGTCCCAGCTCTAAAGCCATTTTAAAGCATGATGCGGCCCCTTTTAAGTGCCTATCATGGTCTCACGCCAGTCAAGGAAAGAGAAGGGTAAGAAACACGACTCTGGAGAACTGTGTGGCCTAAGAAAGAATGTGGGCTAACAAGGGCTTCCGGCAGGGTTTGTCCATGTTTCAGCTTCACATACCTAAGGCACCCAGTGGCGTTTTTTTGGAAAACACTGTGAAAGACAGTGTGTAGACAGTGTGTGTGTGTGTGTGTGTGTGTGTGTGTGTGTGTGTGTGTGTGTGTGTGTCACAGAGAAAGAGAGAAAAGAGAGGAGAGAAAGAGAGATAGAGAGAGAGAGACAGAGACAGAGAGACAGAGAGACAGAGAGAGATTCTGAATTCAGAGCATCCAGTGTTCTGGTGTCTCTGGCCAGCCTTTGATGGGTGGTTGTCAGAGTATCTGCCTCTGTAAACTTGGGGACGTAGTCACTGAGAACCCAAATAGGAATAAGCAAGCCATTTGGGACAAGCCACTTTGTGGCCAACACATGTGACATTATTTATTTTTGTTTCTCTCCCCTCATGTGAGCTGTTTCTGTACCAGCTGACACCTGCCAAAATCGTAGTCATTTACAGAGATGAGCTGATGACTGTCTCCTTGGGCAGGAATGCTCAGACATAGCTCTCAGGGCTGCTGCTGCCTAAGCCCTGACAGTCTCGGCTGGTTTTAGGCTTAGGATTAGGGAATAGCTCATTCCACCCTCTCCCCGTGTGCATTCTGGGAGTCTGTAGGAGAGGTGCTGCCTGTGAAGAAACTTGACCCCCATGTTCACAGGGTGTTAGCGAGTTACAACACCAGGCCAGTTGTGAAATGAAAGGCATCTTCAAGTTCAAGGTGTGGTCCTGATGCATTTGGAATCGAGAGGGCCAGGAACACCTATTCTCTCTGGAAACCATCAGGCTTTGTGTGCCAAGCAGCAATATTTTCATGAAATACAGGAGCTTCCGATAGAAACTTTCAGGCTGGGGGAAAATGAATGCTTTATATCTCCAGTTTCCTGGATCTGTGTGCTATTAAAATATCAATTTGCCCCCTGAATTTTAAATACAGAAGCATAGAAAATGCCCACTATGAAATCCACTCTCCACTCTTACTGATTACTGGGCCCTGGAGGGAAGCAGGGAATTCAATACTGGATCAAACCAGTGTAGGAGTGTGCAGACCTAAACCCACACATGCTGGTAGCCTGGTTTTTTTTTTTTTTTTTTTTTTTTTTTTTTTTTTTGAGTTCACGGGGAGTCAATTGTGAAGGTTTCCAGAGAGGGCCTTCAAGCTGTGGCTAACTCAAGACTATGTATGGGTGCATCTTACTGATATTCACAGAGATAAAAGGGACTGACAAATCTTCTATTATTATTTTTACATTTTTTTTGGAGAAAATGCTCCTCAAAATGTTATTATACATGCAGAGCCATAGAAAACAACAAAAATGGAAAAAGAAATACATAATAAAGTAAACAAGTACCATTTGGTACATTTGTTTCTTCCTAAACAGATCTCGGTAGTTCTCTGAGGTGGCTGCCTAAATCAGAGCATGCCTAAATGTTACCATATTTTACGGCAATTGTCGCCTTCCTTCTGTTAAAACTGGGTGGAATAAGCATGCATAGCTCGATAAATCTCAGCTGCCTTTTCCAGGACATCACTGTGGACTGTGGCTGTAACTGGGATACAGCATATGATCCTCTATCAAAGGCAACCAAGTTAAATTGCCACCTTTTCCTGGAAACATTTGATTAGCCAGTCAATACCTTAGCTCATGCTTCTGATAGGAGCTTACTGGGTTCTCAGTGGATTACATAGCATATATTTAAAGTCTTGTTATGGTGATCAGATGGGAAAAGTCTATGCAAAATGACAACACTGAAAATCTCCCCCATCTCTGTCTCTGTCTCTCTCTTCCTCCCTCTGTCTGTCTCTGTGTGTGTGTGTGTCTGTCTGTCTGTCTGTGTCTCTGTGTGTAAACTGTCATTCTCCTAAAAGGAAAGGTGAATTGTATACCATCACCTTTAAAATGCCATCTGCATTTCAGAAAATATCTTTCAGTCAGCCCAATGCTAGCTACATGATCTGGGTATAAAAGCCTTATTCTGTCTTAGCAAACAGTTCACCTTCTTTGTGTCATGGTCGGCAGCTAACTTCTAGGGTCACTAGGATTTTAAAGTGGTGGGACTGAGCGCAGCGGTGGAACGTCTTGTAGGCAGCCAGACAGGCCTTCTGACCAGCAAATGGACCATCTCCCAGCTAATTTAAATGTTGAGAAATACTGTCTAATATTGCATATTGTTCACATATTACAAAGCACTGGGGATCTAGCTCAGTGAGAGACCACTTACTAGTGTTCACAAGGCCCTGAGTTTCGTCTCTAGCACTGTAAAAAGTGAAAGAAAGAAGAAAATGTTCCAGTTTAGCAAACATTTAAATTAATTCACATGCTATACACAAGATATGTAAATGATATTATCTAATATATGCTACTATAGATCCTAATGCACTTTATATATGTATGTTTTTATTGTCCAATGGTATATGAACATAGATAGTTTCACTCCCCCCTTAATTTCCTCTCATGTTATTATGCTAAGAGAACACATTTGCTACACTGAAGAACTAGAGAAGGGCCAGAGAAATCAGTCATGTCTTTTAAATGACAGCTGACAAGCCAAGTTCAGAGAGGTTATATCATTTAGCCCATATCACACAGCCATATGGAGGAAGGGCATGGGTCCATAAACATCCCCAGTTCCCAAGACTTCCAACTCACACCCAGAACTCCTAGAATTATAAACTTGGTTTTGATGACCCCCATCCTTGCCTAAGTGAAGTAATACAAGTGACACACAGTCCAACTGAGTCTAGATCACAGTCCACGAGAGGCTTGGGCTTCTCCACTCTGCCTTTGTCCCACTTCCGTCCCCCAGTTTGCCCAAAGAATGAGGAGGGCCAGGGTAGTACGGTGGTCTGCAGCCAGCTGCCGGCTCTCCACTTGTGGAGCAGGTATCAGAACCACCTGAGGCTCTCGCTAGGTGGGTGCAGAATAAGGTCCCCTAGAACTCCAGTTTCTAGAAAGATCTGTGTGCTGTTGATGGTGTATGTGTGAGAGCAGGGAGGAGGGGC